TTGGAAGGAAAAGGAAGGTTTTCCCCAACTTCATGGAAAAAAATGAATTTTTGGGGTATGTAATATTCCATTAAGAGGTAAGTTTAGGCTGGGATATGTGATATTCCAATGGGAGGTTTTAATAGGCATATGACATTTTACTTAGACAATAACCATTTGATTGTTTACTGCAATTCCATGAGATTAACCAAAGTATATTTACCATATGAAATTTTTAACCATATGATATTCTTCTTATACATACAGTGCATATAATGAAGATCATGTAAAAGTCACTCAGATTGCAGAAATAGGTTATATCATTGTAATAATTGTTAAAAGCTTACTTCAGGAGCTTCGGGAGATTTTTACTGGTATGTATGTAATGTATTTTTAGGTTGTGATTCTGGAAGGTTTGGTGAGATGTGTGATTTCGAGTGTCATTGTAAGTTTTGGGTTTCTGTTGGGATTTGTCCATTGGGATGTATCCTGGATGGCTAATCAACCTGTCAAAACGTAAGTCACATCCAAACTGACTCAATACAACCTGTCAAACACGTAAGTCACTTAGACTCAATACAACCTGTCATACACGTAAGTCACTTAACTCAATACAACCTGTCAAACCGTAAGTCACTTAGACTCAATAAACCCTGTCAAACCGTAAGTCACTTAGACTCAGTACAACCTGGAAACACGCATATAAAGTCCTTTCTGGTATTTCATGAATGCACAAAGCTGTGAAATTGCCCCCTTATTGACACTCTGAAATTCAGATTTATCAGTGATGAATAACTTTGTTCTATGAAGATCAATTATACATGTCAGAGTATAATGTACTGTTATTCAAAAAGGATTTCAAATGTGTTCTTGTGAAATGCATGTATAAAATGTTCGTCAAGTCTTTGTGTATCATTTATAGCTCACTTCGACGAAGTCGAGATGAGTTTATGCTATACATCCGGCGTTGGTGTTGGCATCAGTGCGGCATCCCAGGTTAAAGTTTTAGAAGCAGGTCTTTTCCCAAGTAACTATAAGCCCTACCTGAACCAAACTTGCATGGATGATGCATCTGGGATGGACACTACCAGACTTGCTTAGGATGCTGGATCTGACCTATATTTTCCAAACAAGAGACCAGGTTAAATTTTGGGAACAGATCAATCCCAATAACTTGAAGTCCTTGATATCTGCAGTATTAACAAAGATATGAATATTTGTTTACACTACACATGTGTAGAAATGTGTATATGCCATGTAAGGGGGTTGACACAACTTGCAAGAATATTGTTGTAGGATAAATTAAATTTAAGAAAAAATTATGTGAGATTTCATTTCTTACACTGTAACATTTGTCGAGGTGAGCTTCGTAATCTTTGAGTACCTATCTTTATCAATCATGCACATCTTGTTACACGACAGCTTGTGAGCCCGGTAACTATGGAGATGGTTGTGTGTCCAAGTGTGGAAACTGTAAATCGGGACCGTGTGATTTTGAGTCGGGGGACTGTGATGGAGAGTGTTCAGCAGGCTGGAAGGGGAAACTGTGTAAAACTGGTAAGTGGGGGAATTAATGAGGTACAGAGAAGGGGAAACTGTGTAAAACTGGTAAGTGGGGGATTTAATGAGGTACAGAGAAGGGGAAACTGTGTAAAACTGGTAAATGTGGGATTTAATGAGGTACAGAGAAGGGGAAACTGTGTAAAACTGGTAACTGTGGGATTTAATGGGGTACAGAGAAGGGGAAACTGTGTAAAACTGGTAAGTCGGGGATTTAATGGGGTACAGAGAAGGGGAAACTGTGTAAAACTGGTAAATGTGGGATTTAATGAGGTACACAGAAGGGGAAACTGTGTAAAACTGGTAAATGTGGGATTTAATGGGGTACAGAGAAGGGGAAACTGTGTAAAACTGGTAAGTGGGGGATTTAATGAGGTACAGAGAAGGGGAAACTGTGTAAAACTGGTAAGTCGGGGATTTAATGAGGTACAGAGAAGGGGAAACTGTGTAAAACTGGTAAGTCGGGATTTAATTAGGGACAGAGAAGGGGAAACTGTGTAAAACTGGTAAGTGTGGGATTTAATGAGGTACAGAGAAGGGGAAACTGTGTAAAACTGGTAAGTGGGGATTTAATGAGGTACAAGAAGGGGAAACTGTGTAAAACGGGTAAGTGGGGGATTCAATGTGGTACAAGGAGAGGGGAAACTGTGTAAAACTGGTAAGTGTGGGATTTAATGAGGTACAGAGAAGGGGAAACTGTGTAAAACTGGTAAGTGGGGGATTTAATGAGGTACAGAGAAGGGGAAACTGTGTAAAACTGGTAAATGTGGGATTTAATGAGGTACAGAGAAGGGGAAACTGTGTAAAACTGGTAAGTGGGGATTTAATGAGGTACAGAGAAGGGGAAACTGTAAAACTGGTAAATGTGGGATTTAATGAGGTACAGAGAAGGGGAAACTGTGTAAAACTGGTAAGTCGGGGATTTAATGAGGTACAGAGAAGGGGAAACTGTGTAAAACGGGTAAGTGGGGGATTCAATGTGGTACAAGGGAGGGGAAACTGTGTAAAACTGGTAAGTGTGGGATTTAATGAGGTACAGAGAAGGGGAAACTGTGTAAAACTGGTAAGTCGGGGATTTAATGAGGTACAGAGAAGGGGAAACTGTGTAAAACTGGTAAATGTGGGATTTAATGAGGTACAGAGAAGGGGAAACTGTGTAAAACTGGTAAGTCGGGGATTTAATGAGGTACAGAGAAGGGGAAACTGTGTAAAACTGGTAAGTGGGGGATTTAATGAGGTACAAGGGAGGGAAAACTGTGTAAAACTGGTAAGTGGGGGATTTAATGTGGTACAGGGAAGGGGAAACTGTGTAAAACTGGTAAGTGGGGGATTTAATGAGGTACAGAGAAGGGGAAACTGTGTAAAACTGGTAAGTGGGGGATTTAATGTGGTACAGAGAAGGGGAAACTGTGTAAAACTGGTAAGTGGGGGATTTAATGTGGTACAAGGAAGATGAAACTGTGTAAAACTGGTAATTGGTGGGATTTAATGAGGAACAAGGGAGGGGAAACTGTGTAAAACTGGTAAGTAGGGGATTTAATGAGGTACAAGGGAGGGAAAACTGTGTAAAACTGGTAAGTGGGGGATTTAATATGGTACAGGGAAGGGGAAACTGTGTAAAACTGGTAAGTGGGGGATTTAATGAGGTACAGGGAAGGGGAAACTGTGTAAAACTGGTAAGTGGGGGATTTAATGAGGTACAGGAAGGGGAAACTAAGTAAAACTGGTAAGTGGGGGATTTAATGAGGTACAGAGAAGGGGAAACTGTGTAAAACATGTAAGTGGGGATTTATTGAGGTTTAGGAAAGGGGAAACTGTGTAAACAGGTAAGTGGGGAATCATATGAGGTACAGGTAAGGGGAACAAATGCAGATCTAATGAGAAATTGTTTGTGGGTTTGTTGTTTATGTACAGTTTATTATGTAGGCTGTGCTGATGGAGGGTTTGTGTGAATTGTTTGTGTTTTATGTACGGTTTGTTTTGTAGGCTGTGCTGATGGAGAGTATGGGGAGAATTGTTTGGAGACCTGTGGGGCGTGTCGCCGACCTCCATGTGACCTCCGGACCGGTCAGTGTGCGGGGGGATGTCTGGACGGCTACACAGGAATTCTCTGTAAAACAGGTCAGTACTAGTATAACATTATATTTATACCCCCGCTCCGAAGGAGAGGGGGTATACTGTTTTACCCTTGTGTGTCTGTCCGTCTCTTTGTCTGTCCGTAACAATTTTTTTGTCGCAGTTTTCTCAGCAACTACTCATCGTAGATGCTTGAAATTTTAACACAATCTTCTATGAGGCATGCCATATGGTGGGATACATTTTCGCTCAAATCCTATGTCAACTTCCTGTTTGTCTGTGTGTTTGTCCGTTTCATACATAACAAATCTTTGTCACAGTTTTCTCATGAGTTATTCATAGCGGATGCTTGAATTTTTTTTTTACACTCTTTGTTGAGGCATGCTATTATGGTGGGATTAATTTTGATATAAATCTGATGTCATCTTCATATTTTTCTATGCATCTGCCTCTAATTGAAATTATGTATATTAACATGATAGTGCTTATTTACATCAGGGATGGGGTAATTGAATAAAGTAATTGTACTTGGACGTAATTAATTACATTTTTCAAAGTAATTGGAAGTAATTTGTATTTGAGCTTGCCTTCAATTACAGGTAATTGAATGTATTTAAATACATTTCAAAAATGTCATGTATTTTCAATTACTTTTCAATTACATTTCAATTACTTTTTTCAAAATGAAAGTCTATAAAATTTTTGTTTACTGATACATAATTTTTATTCTGGTAAGTTTATACTTAGTACCTATTCCCACTTTTAAAAATTTCAATTCTACCTATTGCCAATTGCAAATAACAATGATTGTTAAGATAGTTAATATGTTTTTACAGTTATTAGACTAACTACACCCCTTTTTAGATTTACCTATATTCTATTCATTTTAAGATAGAAAATTATGGATTTGTGAGAAATATCTATTTCTTTCAAAAATATGGATTTGAGAAAGTAACAAAATTGATCTTGCCATACACCATACTGGTGTAGCATGGGCTTGTGTTTGTACAATAATTAAATGTCTTATAATTTTAATTGTTTAAATTGTTTATACAGTGTGTCACACTGCCCAAGGCATTTGGTAAAGGTCTAATTTTGTACAGGTGTGAGCCCCTCTCATTCCAAAGAACAAAAAAATGAAAAAAAAAGTTCACTATAGAAAATTTAAATAATTTTTTTTTTAAATAAAACTCAAGTAATTGAAATGTATTTAATTACATTTGTCAAAGTAATTGAAAGTAATTAATTACATTTTAAAAAATCAATGTAATTGTAATTGGAAGTAATTGAAAAAATTATCAATGTATTTGAAAGTAATTAATTACATTTCAAAGTAATTGACCCCAAGCCTGATTTACATCAGAGCGGGGGTATTACTAGTGAGCATTGGCTCACAGATTTCTTGTTATATTTAATGTTTTCATGTCCTATTGTTGTCACATTACAATGTTGTTTTTTTGTGAAAGATAAATCCTATATTTAACATGACATTTACAGAATGTGAAGCTGGATATTTTGGGACCAACTGTAGCAGGACATGTGGCCAATGTATGACAGGAAGCTGCCATTTTGTGACAGGGGTGTGCTCAGGTGGATGTAAGCCTGGTTGGCAGGGGTTCGAATGCCTGGAAGGTAAGGATCCAAACATTTCAGTGGTGGTAGGTGTGGTGTGGGATTCTGTGCTTTATTGATCTGAAGTTATGACAGCAGAGTAACTCTTAGATTTTAGTTTTCACGAAATAATTTAATTTTGTCTTTCTTATAGGTAATTTCATTCCAAGCCATCTGGATTTTTTAGTCAAAGCTCAATTCATTTACTTTAGATAATTTATAATTTTATAATCCTCAAAGGCTTGAATTAAAATAGTTCTTATATTCACAATTGCTATTTCAATTCCTGAACCTCTTGAAGAGCTTTTCCCTTAGAGAGGTGTTGATTCTGTTTTTTTAATTGGCAGCTTGTGATGACTTTACGTTTGGAGAGAACTGTTCCAGTAAGTGTGGGGCGTGTCGCGGTATGACCCCCTGTGATAAGGAGACCGGGCTTTGTACTGGGGGGTGTGAGGAGGGATTTACTGGGGACCTGTGTATAGGTGAGTTGTAGTGGTGAAAGAATAAATAAACTGCTCACTATGAACTCTAGAATAATCTACCTTTATAGACATTGCCTAAGTGTTGATTGATTTGTGCAGTCAGGACATATGATGATAATTAAACATTTTATCCGAATTTAAAGATTTGGTCCCGGTGGAGTTATCAGACAACACATCGATGGGGAGTGTCATTGGAGGGGTGGTGGCAGTACTGGTCATTATAGCCATCATCGTAATCACCGTCATCGTCATCAGGTAGGGGTCATCTCTAGAGGTGGTTATATTATTACAGCTGTCATCGTAGTCATTATCATTGTCATCAGGTAGGTGTCATCTCCAGAGGTGGTTATATTATTACAGCTGTCATCGTAGTCATTATCATCGTCATCAGGTAGGTGTCATCTCTAGAGGTGGTTATATTATTATAGCCATCATCGTGATCACCGTCATCGTCATCAGGTAGGTTTCATCTCCAGAGGGGGTTATATTATTATAGCCGTCATTGTAAACTTTATCATCATCATCAGGTAGGGGTCATCTCCAGAGGTGGTTATATTATTATAGCTGTCATTGTGATCACCGTCATCGTCATCAGGTAGGTGTCATCTCTGGAGGGGGTTATATTATTATAGCCATCATTGTAATCGTCGTTATCATCATCAGGTGGGTTAAATACATTGGCGAGATGAATTACTTTTGACAAATTTTACAAGGCACGCAGGAAATATTACTTTTATCAATAGGATTTTCACTGGAGGATACTAGTACAAGTCCTGCTGTCCCCACAGAGTTTTATTTTCTTAAGGATTGTGTACTATTTTAAAATTTTAAGTTCAGCAGTAAAGATTTAAAATTTGAAATTTACGTTTTTTACATACATGTACATAAATCTATCATGGTTTTATTGCACTATTACATTATTTTACAGACGTAGAAAGTTACAGACTCTAACGTTTGGTAAAAAAGGACAAGATGAAGAGAAGCGACCTGTGGAACTAACGCAGAGTAAAGAAACGGATCAGCTGATCGCTAATGGTAGGCAGTTAACTGTAATACTGTGAAATCACTTATTTTCATAGGGGTTAATATTCGTAGATTTCAAGGTATGTGGAGACCTATGAATTTATAACCACCATTGAAATGCAACTTTTGACATATATTTCTACTAAACAATTATTTCACCATGAAATCAAATCCAAATGAACAAATACATTTTCCTCAAACCAGGAAAATTTGATCCCTCAAAAATATGTGATTTCACATTATTATTGCTCTCTAAATGTAGTTTTCTGGTCTATAGCTAGGACAGAAAGTAACACACTTTATTATTTGAATGAAGGAGAGACTTAAAGGCATGCCTATATGTCAGTGATTTAATTACATATTAATTTTATTAACCAGAATCCTCTATGTCTGATCCCCATGACGACACAGATCCCAACCTGAATGAACCAATTTATGCCAACGTCAACACCAAGAAACAGAGCAGTCCTATCAAAGTGGCCGACCTGTTTGATTACATCCGAGAAAACAAGAAAAACGAGTGTGAAGGATTCAAAAAAGAGTTCAACGTAAGACAGAGATTTAAGTTGATCACCTTAAAGAAAATATATTTATACTGCAATGTTTTGAAAAATTTTCTTTAAAATTCCTGTCCTTGATAGATTGGAAAATGATATTTTAATTCGCCATCATAGAAATTTTTTTATTCAAACAATCATGTAGAAGTTAAAATAGAGAGATTGAGATTTCAAACGTGTAAGTGTACGTCTCGTAGGGGAATAACCTAAATTTTGTGTGTATAACGTCATCAATTTTAGTGACGTCAAGATTGCTACATGTTCGTAAAATTTGCAGAATGGAATCTACACGTATGTGAAAACGTGTAGCTTTAATAATAAAAATTAACCAATTTAAGTGTGAAAATGTAATTGTAATACATTATATAGGATGTTTACTTTTACGAGCACTTATTTCAAGTTTTGTCTACTAACTGACGACAAAAAACCATCTATATAGTTGAAACAGAGACACCGATTGCGGTCTACAGGTACATGTTTCACGTCATAAAAATCTCAACAGACAAATTTAAAAAAACGTGTACGTGTACGTCAAAATATGTACAAGTACACATACGCGTACAAGTTTAAGATCTCAACCTTTCTAATATCTTAACAATAACACAATCCAAAAATAAAAGGGAAAATCAAAATTCCCTTTTTTTGACCCAAGGTTTACAATCTGAAGTCATTTTGGTCTTAAAATCCTTATATGTGTCTAGCAAGTTTCCTTTTTGAAGAATTTGTTAAGTATTTGAGGAACGTTCCTCTTTCTACACTTCAGATGCATTTGTTATGACCAGAGATTTGAGGAACGTTCCTTTCTCTGAACTTCAGATGCATTTGTTATGACCAGAAATTTGAGGAACGTTCCTTTCTCAGAACTTCAGATGTATTTTTTTATGACCAGAGATAGAGGAACATTCCTCTCTCTGAACTTTTGGTGTATTTGTTATGACCAGACATTTGAGGAACGTTCCTCTCTCTGAACTTCAGATGCATTTGTTATGACCTGAGATTTGAGGGAAATTGTCTTCTGAACTTTGGTGCATTTGTTATGAGCAAAATTTTAGGAACATTTCCTCTCTCTGAACTTCAGATGCATTTGTTATGACCAGAGATTTGAGGAACGTTCCTTTCTCAGAACTTCAGATGTATTTTTTTATGACCAGAATAGAGGAACATTCCCTCTCTGAACTTTTGGTGTATTTGTTATGACCAGACATTTGAGGAACGTTCCTCTCTCTGAACTTTGGTGCATTTGTTATGAGCAGAAATTTGAGGAACATTCCTCTCTCTGAACTACAGATGCATTTGTTATGACCTGAGATTTGAGGAATGTTCCTCTTTCTGAACTTTGGTGCATTTGTTATGAGCAGAAATTTGAGGAACATTCCTTCTCTGAACTACAGATGCATTTGTTATGACCTGAGATTTGAGGAATGTTCCTTTCTCTGAACTTCTGGTGTATTTGTTATGACCAGACATTTGAGGAACGTTCCTTTTCTGAAA